TCTTGCCCAATTTTCAAGATTTCTTTGAATTATTCGAGGAACTCACGTTACAACCATTACGACCCGATATAAAACCCGCTTTCAAAGACCCCAAATATTATTTGACCCCGCGGTTCTAACTTTCCCAGTGTGTACACAAGGCCCATACACCTCGCACAACTGGTTGTGTCGGTTCCTCTCATGAATACAACACTGCTGATCGACAACACTATTGATCGTAACAAATAACTAGCAATAGAAGGATTATATAGCAACATAACAGACTTCACAATACAACGGGGGTCTGTAAAAAGTGATACAGGCTCAGTGCACTTTTTCACCGCATAAAAATGAAGGGAATTCCCGTGGAACAAAAATAAATATCAGAATTTCGATTCACTTTTTGCAGTGGCTAGCTAGCTTTCCATGACGTCATATCGCGTGTCGGATCTGTGTTGTCGTGATAATAATATGCAAACAATAAGCATGGCTTCACATTCTTCTTGAATATGTTGGTTAGCATTCCTAACCCCGGCCGGACCGAATGTATTTAAAAAAGGGCCGTTCATCGATAAGAGTCCATTTGGATAATATGAAACATCTGGAGCTCTTTCGGAATTTCCGTCTTTTTGGGAGTGGAGAGAAACAATTAAGCTCCAGATTGTTAAGCCGAAACTAATGGTAAGTGAAAGAGAAAGTTGAGATTGCTTCGGAACCACTACCTCAGACACTCCAACGAAATAACCCAGCTCGCACCCCGCGGAGCTGACCAGGAAATGTTTTCAAAGTTCGCAAAAAGGTTACTGAGGCGAGCTTACTGGTGGAATAACAGTCGCCGTGGCTCTGCGCCAAAAACGAGTCTCATATTCGTAATCAGGGCACCCATTTACCCTTATAGAACAAGTTCCAGGCAAAAAGCAACCGTGTTTCCACATAGGTTGCACCTCATCATTAGCGTTCTTTTGCAACTTTTAAGGCTCACAACTTTCTTACAAAGTTCACGTAGCAGTTTTAGTGTCCATATTTGTAATCAGCGTTCAAGACTCTCGATACATCTAGGTCGCCTTAAAAGTTCCATGGGAAGTTCAAAGCATTTCCTGGTAAGTGTAGACCGCCACGGCCATGTGACAAGACGGTTAACTTAATATTCATATCACAGAGCTGTGATGGCCTTCGCAAATATTTATGGCGCCATCCCCGTCCTCCTCGTCGCTTCCCGGTTGGGACCCGCCCAGGCACGGGTCGTAGAGCGATTTGCCAAGTCTAAAACCGACTTAGGGGAGATGTACCGTACCCAACCCATGATACCTGTAAGAGAGGAGTTTCTCCAGTCGGCCGACTCGCACCTCGGAAGGAATGCGCGCAATTTCGCATATCGTGCCGCACTTGAACTAGCTAACAAGGGAGGTCGTTCAGGGTGTGCCAAGCTTTTTCAAAATGGTTTCTTGCATGACATATGGGGACCACAGAACCATGGTTCATTTTTCCTGAACGGCCCTCTGAATACCAGAAAAGGGGTCCCTAGTTCGATTCCTCGTGGTGACAAATTTTTGCATTTCGAGTTGACGTTTCAAAATTCGCGCAAAATGGAGTTAGCATGAATAATTAGTACCATATTCATGATTAGGACCGTCAGTAACCCTTACAAATAGACTTTGATTGAAAAACTGGTGAAAAAGGTGTGACTAGGGACCCCCTTTTCTGGTATTCAGAGGGCCGTTCAGGAAAAATTAACCATGGTTCTGTGGTTCCCGCATGTGCCCCTATATCATGCAAAAGACCGTTTTGAAAAAGCTTGGCACACCCTGAACGACCTCCCTTGTAAGTATAGGCAGCTACGAAGATTTTTTAATGGTAACCGCGGGAAGAAGGAACACGATAGCAGTAACTAATTAGTGAAAAACCAAATAAATTTCTAAATTCTGTGAAAGAAACCCCAACAAACCCTTCTATTCATGACCACCAATACCGAGTCTTTCTCAGAACAATACGAAAACGGCCCCACTGCGCACCCTGCCTAGCATCTTTGCGACGATACACGTACAATAAACTATTATACAACCGTTGACAGTGCCAATCGAATTAAGTAATTACCACGGAATCGACACTCTCAAAGAAACTGGTGACAGTTAGCTCAGCCAGAAAACGGGAAGCATAAGTGGGTTACGCTGAAGGACGAGTGATCGCCTGCGTAATAAGAAGATTTGTTCATCAAACAGTTACAGAAAACTTTTGAATAAGTGACGATAATTGTATTTATATACCAAGATACAACAAAAACAACTATGAAGTCTTAGTAACTATAAAACGTACAGGGTTGAGGGGTTAACATGACCGTCATTATGTTTGTTGAACTACGAAAAAAAATTGCACACGATAATTTACTATGCAAGTAATAGTACCAAGTAACTAACACAGAAGCTAAGGCTCATGGAAAACACGCGGATAAATTTCATTAGCTGGCTTAAAAAGATAAAATTATAGATTTATAAAATCAGCACACATAGAGGAAGAGTTGTCATCGAACAGAAAACACTATAAGTTCATGGCAAGGACCGGTTCTGTGAACATGCCGAACTCTCGTTTCGACTATGGCGGAACAACTCATGCTCCGATATGATGAGCCCCACCGTGAATATTGTGACAGATAAGAAATATCTCAGTGAAATTTGTTGGTAAAATCGCGAATAAATGGACTGAATCACTCGATCTCTCCTTCCATATGAGACAACAGATGTTAGCGAGGAATTAGGAATTCGAATAGGAAGACGGCAGATCAAACAGGGGAAACATTTGATATGGAGAGAAGAATTATCCCCAAACCCCACCAACCACGACGAGCATATCTGTTACCAAGTTGCCTAGGATTATGTTAGTCGAAATCTATAAGACACGTTTCAAGCGCTTTAGAACGGAGAGATGAACATTTTCAATATGCTGGAGCTAACATAGAATATCAATGAAAAGGTGAGTGAAATTTATTACAGTGAGAGTGTTCGTTATAGAAATCGTCTTACGAAAGGTGAAGGTGAGCCACAGGTTTCGAACGCCTGAAAAAGAAAAAAAAGACTCAAAAAAGGATGGCTTAGAGAAAATAAATGAGAGGCGCTAAGATACTATTTACCAACAAAATATTTGTAGAATCAGTTCATGTATAAGGAAATCCTTTACTCATGTGCGAAAATATAGCATAAGTAGAACGATTACGAGAGAAGTAAGTTTTGATTGGCGGCATCAGCTTTCAATTACGGTCTAGAACGTGTTGATGATGACAACGTTGCTCGTTGTCAGATCTCTCTCTTTGCCCGGAGAATGCACTACGGTCCATCTCACGACGAAAATTAAGTTGAGGAGGGCCATTCCATTGCGCTGTGCGTTTCTAGCACTATACGTACTCGTTTACAGTAGCTTCTTTGAAAAAACCGGTGAACCACCCTGCATTTTACAAATGCTATCCAATTTTCCAAAGTAGCCAGCGATCCACCCACTCCAGAGCACTCTTTCTCCTATCCCCTTGAACTCGGAAAAATATCCAGCCATTGGCTGAGGATCGCGTCTCCGAACCAATCGAGGGTGATTCAGCCGGTAATTATCAAAAAGTTACTTGTATTAAGCATGTTATCAAAGCTCTTATCCTTAGTCTCATGAATGATCTTATTAAATCACTTAGCGTTAGACGCTGAGCACAATGGATGCTTCCCAACTCCGTTTTGTCAAACAAATTGAAGCAGCAGTCCCAGCAGGGTTTTTAACTTCAACACTAATGGTGTGGAATGATGCGCTAGCCCTAGTGAGCAGAGAAGCGTGACTGAACAAAAAATTACTTGGGAGCTGTTAGACAGGACTTGAACGTAAAGACGTCGTCTGTGGTATTGCTCAGTCTGGTGCAATCTCCGTTCGGCGCGACTCTCACTACGCTCCAAACGCTCAGCTCCTTACTATTAGCTTTGAAGGGTGAGTTTTTGTCGACTAAAGGGCTAGCGCTATCACTTCCACACCAACCTGTGTCAAAAGAAAAAAACCCCCTACTTAGTGGACTGCTGGCCCCCTTTCGCGATAAGGATGGACAAACCAACTTTACCCGTCTACCAGTTCTGTCGCGGAGAAACGTTTACCCCAGCCAGACTGGCCACGGTACTTCCACCACCTAATCCTCCTATGCCATCGGACAGACGAGACATCACTTCGGACATTTCGTCGGCTTCTTCGTTCGCCTTCGCTTCATATCCGCCAAACTTACAAAAGCACGAACGTCAATTTCCGCAGATTGAAAAAACACTCAGTTGATCTGGTCATGGATTTGCGCAAACAAATTCGAACAATATTGCTCAAATTAACGGCGTCAATTACGCAGAAGCGCAAAACAGGAAATAAAGAAGGAAAAAATAAATGGTCAAAAAAGATATATCGAAGACGAAAGCAAATGTTGAATCCGTTGCCAAAAACAGATTCAAGAATTAATTTTAGAAGCTCTCGAAAATCACGTACCGCGCAAATCTCGTCCATTCTTCGCTTCTCAATACATACATACTTTCGTGAACATCAAACAGCTGCAGATTACCCTGGTCGTCTCCAACGCATAGGTTTTGTTCCTTAAAATTGTCAACGACACATATCTCACTACAGCTTAAGCTACGATACGCTCAACTAACCGTTCTCGGCCCATGCGATTTTCTTCAAATCCATCTTGAGCAATGTTCATTCGTGCAACTGGACCTTCTATGTCCTCATTGAGATTCCAAAGGAATAACTGAAAAGGATGAAAGAATAAGAAATGATGTCGACATCCATTAGGAAAATTTACAAATGAAAAGGAAAACATACGTTCCCCTCGGCGTCAATTGACGTAAAAACAGCGGGATGCACCGGTGACCAGGCGACATCGAAAACGTAGTCATTATGTGACTCGAAAGAAAACCGCAACTTGGGATCCTAAAATACTGAGAATAGTAAAAAAAACACTCAGAAATACTAAACCGAAAAAAGAATAAAAAGGACTTCGTTGCACGACACTCACCTTTGTGCTCCACAATTTCACGGTCCAGTCAGAACTCGAAGTAAGGAAAAGATGAGAAAGATCTACTGGACCCGTGGCACGATGGAAAGCTATTCCACACACAGGTGCGCCATGACCTAAAAAGGGTGGATCGACTTATAAAAAAGGTAGCCGCCTAAAGGAAAGCAAAACGATTATACTTCTCTTCGAACAATGAAATCCGAGCCACAATTGAGCCAATTCTTCAACCACATTATTTGCTTCATATAAGTTACTTCGTTCTCAAAATATGCAGCGATCCCGCACGCTGCA